TTAAAAAGTAAATTTTATATTATTTAATAATTAGTTACTTTTATTTTTTAAAACTCATAATATTATATGTATCAACTAATTTTATAATATAATATAAACCACATTATTAGTTTTAAATTTTCATCCTAAAATTTTGTTTTCCCTATTATTACACTATTAAAAAAACAATTCAACAATTTGGGCCAACTAAAAAAAAAAAAACATTTTGGGCTACTACAATAGCTAAAAATAAAAATTGTACCTAAATCCATGTTTTATTCATATTTTTTTTAACTTAAACGTTATGATTATCACTCAATTTTAACTATCTATTCTCTGATTAAAATTATTTTTTATTTTATTTATTTTTTAAAAGTAAAATAGATAAAGATAAAAATTATCTCTAAATCCTTAGTATGAAAATAAAATGTTTATTATTTTGGAATAAAGGGAGTAGAAAATACATTTTGATAAAAATTTCATTTTCTAAAATTGAATTTAAAAAGCATTTTTCTAAATTGATGGACTGGATTTTTATCTAATATAAAAGAGATACATACTTCAATATTTTCTTTTATTATAAGAGTGATGATTCCTTATTAAATATCCTTGTACTTATTATATCATCCAATATGGTTCTATATATCCTATTTATTAGGCATCATCAGTTGATAATATCAAAATTAAATAATTTATATACAAGATTTGATAACATCTTTAAATCTAAGGATTTTTTTGTAAATCATGGATAGAATAATTTTTTCTTTAATAGTAATTCATTTAAGATTATTTTATATAACCTAGTTCAATATTTGTCTTATGTAAATGCTCATTATTTTACTAAAAATCTCTATTCTAGTGGTTGAGATTTATCACTTTATTACTTATAGTAGTACAACAAATAAATTAGGATACTCCTTCTACTCAAATTTTGTTATTAAGGAAAAACAAACTTATTTTGGTACAAAATGTGACAACTAAGTTGAGCATATTAATTGTCCAAAGTATGTTTATAGTTGTGAAAAATTTTAACATCATCAAATCTTTTCATTTAATCATTTTTATGTTTCTTAATATATGATCTAAAGATAATAACATTTACTAAATCTCCCAAAAGAAATTTCCATGTAAAGAAACTAAAATAAATAATAGTGGCTCTGTAGGCCATACGACTCTTTCAGTAATTAGCCAAACAATTTTTTTGGGTATGTTGGCGAGCCAGATAGCAAGGCGGAATCGATCTTGTTGGTCTGGAGCACAGCGAAACCCAGGTTCAAAATCGCCGAATGGTGATTGCCATGTAAGGTTCTGATCATTGGCAGGGAGAAAATCGCCCCCGCTTAATTACATTGCAGGAAGCACCTTGAGCTGCTGCAAGGACCAAGAAACTACTTAGGAGGATGAGCAATGGATTCCGAAAAGGAGCTATAGATGAAATCATGGAACCAGCTGAGTAAGAAGTGATTGTGAATCCCCAGAGAAAATTTAGATTTTGTGAGGTATTTAGCGAAGCTAAGCTGCCTTGACTGCTTAGGTGAACTTTGTGAGGTATGTGCTTCTTCAGATGAACTTTGTTGGAAGCAATTTATAAGCTGGAGTTTCCGTTCAATGCGTTGATTGCTTTGACTGCTTCCATTTATGCATGACAAGGGGCCGAATTTATCAAAGGAACAAAAAAAGGGATTTTTTCAGTATAAAGACTGAAAAAGAACCTTTTTTAATAGTAAAGGGACCAAAAGAGGTATTAACCTTTTACCTAAAACCCAAAGCTGTATCATCGACGGAATGTGGAAAATCCAAAGAAGGTACGTGGCATCTTCTAAAATGCCCTAGTCTATTAAGAAAACTTTTTAAAAAAATTCAATACAACAATTATAATAGAACGTATGATTACAAATTTAATATTTTCACATAATATTAAATAAATATAATATATCATAAAATAAATTTGTGTATATAATATTATAAATAAATTTTTAAATTAAAAAAATTAATATTGAATTTATAATATTATTTGATAATATAATTATCTTATTCTAATAATAAGAAGAAGAAGAAGAAGGAGGAGGAAAAGAAAGGAGAAGAGAGAATTTCATTCTTAGGCTGTCTACTTGATCGACTTTTCAGAATTCAATGTCACAGGCTGCATGCATAGCTAAATCAAAGACGTTATCTTAACGTCAATCCCCGGTCTTCTCTCAGACTACATCCAATTAAAAAGGTTTTTCAAAGGTCGTTATTTGAAGGCGAGAAAAATGTTTCCATTTCATGTGTTCTTGGATCTTATGGAGCTGTTTCTCGTGCATTCATTACTACTAATTTTTGAGGCAGAAGCTTCATGTTAGTTTAATCTTCATTCATATTAGTTTATCGATTATTTAGGATTAAATTTCTAATTATGTCTATAGATTATAATTTAATTTGATAATAAACATGTTTAGTTTATTTTGATTTGTACTTCATTTAGTTCATTTAGAATCTATTAATTTTAATCATGGTAGTATTTAAGTCCTTGAAATTGTTTAAGTCAAATTTACTAATCCATTTAGTAATAAGGCATTCGTACCTCTTACAATCATGGGAAAAGAGAAAGTCATTGGGAAAATCCTTTTTTCTTGCTTTACAGAAAGACAAGTGATATACTTACATCCAGATCCACCTCATGTTATGCCACTTTAGGATTTTTGAGGAAATAAACACTCTATAGAGTAAACTTAGCACATCAACTTCTCGCTTTCTATTCATGTGTTCTAGTATTTTAAGTGAGAAAATCTCACGTTAAAGATGTAATAAGGAAACATATACCTTAAATACAAACATGTACCTTCCCATATATAAAGAACCACCTTTATTTTTATTTTTCATTCACATGTTGTAGAATAGAAAGTTGTAATATATACGACTTTAATGAGGAAGACGGTTTTGCTTGGCAGTGACTTGAACTGGTAGGAAAGGGAAAATTCTTGCTAATAATCAAAGAAATTCATTCTACCTTGAGCGAATGAACTTGGATGAATCAAAGATATCTTTGTTGGATGAATCTTGACGCGTGAAGCTGAATGGAAAGGGGCATGGAGGAACAGGAACCAGGACAACACCTTCAAGCATCATGGTGACCGTTCTCATGTTAGGCCTCTGTGATGGCTCATCCTGCACACACCACATTGCCACCTTCACCAGCATCTCCACCCTCTCCATATCTTTTCTTGCTTCTTCGTCATTTTCCACCAACTTTCCCAGATCCCCTTCGCTGTAGCATTCATATGCCCATTCTGTCAGCATCACTGCCTCCTCCATCTCAAATCTGACACATCTTCTGCAACAGATGATCTCCAACAAAACTACTCCAAAACTATAAACATCTACCTTCACCGTGACAGGAGTACTCTTGAACCACTCTGGCGCAACATACCCTTTAGTCCCCCGGATGCCTGTCAGGGTATGACTCTTGCTGTTAATCAGAAGTTTTGCCAATCCAAAATCTGAGATTTTTGCTATAAAAGAGTCATCCAAGAGAATATTCTGAGGTTTTATGTCACAGTGAATGATCTGAGTGCTGCATTCTTCATGCAGATATGTTAGTCCTCTTGCAATTCCAGATGCAATCCGCAGTCTCTGTTGCCAACTAGGCCTGAGAACTCCGAACAAGAAGCTGGCCAGAGATCCGTTCTGCATCAACTCATACACAAGAAGCCGGTGCTCAGCCTCATCACAATATCCAAGCAATCTAACCAAATTCCGGTGGTGAGTTTGTCCAATCACATCCACTTCTGTCTTGAACTCTTTTTCCCCTTCCTGAACAACCTTGTCTAGTTTCTTCACGGCAACATAATTCCTAGACAGTTCTCCTTTATAAACAGTTCCAAAAGAACCCTTTCCCAGCTCTTCCTTAAATCCATTTGTGGCATCTTCGAGTTCTTTGTATGTGAAGGAATGCAAATTCGTCTCAATCTTTCCTTTCCTGTTGACCCTGTTCAGATCCTTAAGCTTTCTTTGGTAGAAACAGAACAGAAACAGGGAAATCACAGCCAAAGTAAAAAAGTTGAAAAATGCTGATGTGCCTAAGAGGACGGAGAGAATGAGAATGACTTGATTCTGCCTTTTTTTGCTTGGATTTGGGTTGGGAGATTCACCTAATTTCAGTACCTTGATAAATACTTTTCTGTTAATTTGTTCTTGATTGAACCACCCATTTGAAAGCGGCAGTTGCTTCTTCCAGCAGCGTCCAGTGCCATTGTTCAGCTCCGGAGCCTCCAGGATGGCTACGACACAATTACAGTCAATAAGGCAAGCGATACTGCATTCTGTCTCATTTACAGGTTGCAGGATTTCGTAGTCACTCAAGGGCCAATCTGCAAATTGCATTGTATTGAACTCAAAACGATCAACCCCAATAGTGGGGCCTTCCCCGTTACAGTCTTCTGGCTTGCTCTGGTAGTTGGGCCTGCATCCAAAAAGTGGATTCTCAGCATCCAGTACAGAAAATCCGTATGGGCACCGACATGTCGCCCTCCCATCCTGGTTAGGTTGACAGATGCTGTTGTACCCACAAGGCCCACTTCCCCGTGGATCTTCCCGTCGATCTGTTCTCACAAAGCTGGAGCAGATATCTGGATTATTAGGTCTATACCACCAGGATGCCCACGTTGCACCTCTATAGGAGGTCTTGGAGTGAGAATACAGGGTGAAAACTCCATCAAAACCAAGTGTTGCCCTGTAGTATGAGTCTTGTTTTGGGACTGTATTCTCTGGCGCAATGTCGACAAGACTTCCACTTGATTTTCTGATCTGGATATACCCGGATTTGTTAAAGATCAGCCTGGAACCATCTGTGATGTTTAAGTAAAACTGGAAAGGTTTTCCGGTGACGACATCTATTTGATTGAGGACTAGATATTCGGAGGTGAAACGGAGCTGAAATCTTCCCTTCTTGTAGCTTGTTCGGGAGATGGCTGATGAAAGGATGCTGTCTAGGCCTAGTTCTTGTCCTGGCAAGATTGTGTCTGTTGGATTTTGGAAGCTCTCCCATATGTTGTTTGAATTCCTGCCTTTGATGACAAAATTTCCCGTATCCAGCATGGCTGCATGGGATACCCCTCCAGTGCCATCTTGGGTGCTGTTAGACCACCAAAGCTCCATGCCAGAACGAGCTGTGAGCACTAGGCCATTGGAGGTAAGCTCAACTCTGGATTGTACCTCTACAGGGTTGTCTCCATTTGCAGACCAAACTATGGTTTTATCGGGTATGTTGGCGAACCAGATAGCAAGAAGGAATAGACCTTGTTGGTCTGGAACACGGCGAAACCCAAATTCAAAAACACCGGATGGTGATTGCCATGTAAGGTTTCGATCGTCGGCATGGAGAACATCGCCCACGCTGACATTGCGGGTACCCTCTTGAGCTGCTGCAAGAAGGAAGAAACTAGTTGGGAGGATGAGCAATGGATTCCGAAAAGGTGCTAAGGATGAAATCATGGCATGGCATGGCATTATAGGGCATCTGCTTCTTCAGATGAACTTTGTGGGACGCAATTTATAAGCTGGAGTTTCAGTTCAACACGGCACGTAATTGCTTTGATTGCTAACATTCATGCATGACAAGATTATTTATCTAAAGCTCAAGCAGTCATCATCCAGTGAAGGTGAAAAACCCAAAGAAAAAGTTACATGGCGTCTTCTAAACTGTCCCAATCCATCGAGAAACTTTTAAAAAATCTGTAACACTATAGTTACAGTATATTATTAAGAATTGTAAATTTATAATTTTAACACAATATTAAATGAGTGTAATGTATTATTAAATAAATAAATATATAATATTATCAATGAATTATTAAATAAAAATTAATTATGCAATAATATATTATATTGAACTTACAATAGTACCATTCAATATTGTAACTACATCGGCTTTTTCGGAATTCAATGTCACGGGCTGCATACATAGCTAAATCAAAGACGTTATCTTATGGTCAATCCCCGGTTTCTCTCACACTACATCTAATCAAAAATGGTTTTCAAAGGTCGTTAATTGAACACGAGAAAAATGTTTCCATTTCATGTGTTCTTGGATCTTATGGAGCTGTTTCTCGTGGATTCATTGCTACTGATTTTTTAGGCAGAAGCTTCATGTATTTTTGAGCTGGTTTCTCCACTGGCCCAGTCCAACCCAAATTCCTTCGCCTATCGGTATCACAGGATTCCAAATGCAAGGTGAGACAAGAGGGCATATGTAGTTGCATTGTCTTGTTTGAATCACAGTTTCTGGACTTCAATAGTCAGAAACTAAAGTTAGGTCATATAAATTTGTAGCTTTAATTTTTACCCTTACATTTTAAAATTTGATAAATTTTATTAATCATTTGAATACTGTGCCAACTAACATGCTCTTAATCTCTTGTTTTCTGCGTACAAACAAAAGGGATTTGAATTTTCCTTGCTCTGATACTCCTGCGCCAGCAGGTTTTCAAAATCCATTTGCCCTTCTTCATTCCATAGCTGTGGTTTTCTAATAATACCAATAAGGGTAGCGACGGCCCTGTGGGGCCGGGATTCTCCGCAAAAATTTTTGAAAAAGGGTTGAATTTGCCTTTTGTTGCCATTGCTCGCGAGGACCCACTTCCAGTGGGGATTCTCCATCGCACCAATTTGTATTATAAAATTAATTTAAATATTTTTTATTTTATTATTTTAAAATAAAATATTTTAAATATATAGGTGAATAAAAAAATTAAATTTGGTTTGGTTTGGTTTAAAATAATGAGACTTAGGTATTAATTTAAAATTAAAAATGAGTAATAGATATACCTATGACTATGAATTAATATTTAAATTGTGTTGGATTTACTTTATATATATATATATATATATATATATTATGGGAATTGAGATTCTGACGGGAACCAATAAGCTGATGAAAATTCTTCACAAAACTTCACGGGAAAAAAATACTCTTTGTCTCCTCCCCACCCTCATGGCAAGGATCCTCACAAAAATCAAGGGAAATTGCCATTGCGAGACACCAAGTTAGTGTAAAACAATCTTCCATACCATGCTCCCGAAGGGGGACACAAAAAACAAATGCAAATGGGTCTCTTCCCTAGATACCCATGTTAGGTCTTTGCATTGGAATTTTTTTGTGGCTAACTGCAGTAAATGTACTTTGTAGCTTTGCAATTTCTATTGATGATAGTAACATAAATTCTCAATGCACAAACTTATGAAAACACATGCTAAAAACTTCGATGGAGTGGCTTCAAACAAGTAAGAATTTCAAATATATTATTGTAAAATTTTTATCTTGATATTATCGATATTTGGATGAATTTTATAAAATTTTAATTGATTTTACATGGTTTTTATTCCTTATGCAGGAAAGAATTGAACCAAAAGAGATCAAAACTTTTAGGACCAAACCAAAAAAATAGAATTTTGAGATCAAAGTGTCAAATTTATAAAAGATCAGGCACTAGAATAGTTTTATCAATTAAGAACCCAAATTGCATTTTGGCCCAAAATTCCGACACGAACTTAGCTTGACTGCATTGGTGAAGGTGTCGGCACTTTATCTTGAGGTGTCGACAGATTAGGCAATATTCGGCAACTCCACACTTATTATTTTAGTGTGCATTCTATTGTTTATTTCAATTAAGTTTTCGATATTCTTAATAAAATACTCATTCTAGATTAGTACTGAAAAACATTTTTGGCAACCTTTTTGGGCACTGTTAAAAAATGTTTGGCAGTCCTTTTGGGTACTTTTTGATGACCAAATTAGAAATTATAAAAATTTATTAATATTAAAAAATTAAAGAAGTTAACACCCTAAAATTAAGTTTTTTTTTTTTCTATTTTGGTTTTATTTTTTGTTTTAATATGAATTCATGATTTATAAATATGATTTCAGATTTTAATATGTTTATTATAAATTAATTTAAACCAACCAATACTACGATACCTAATTAATTAATTTAATATAATTTTTTTTTATCTTTATGTTTCAATTAAAGTTATTTATATAATGAGTTTTTATTATTAAAATTAATGCCTTAAAAGCTAAATCATAAGTTAATAAATTATGTGATTTATGCATGAATTTAAGATGAATGAATTAAAACAATAGCAATATAAACTTTGTGTTATAATATAAGACCAAGAGGTAATTATTGTCTTTTCCTTCTTAAGCTATAAGCTTCTACATTGCTTAATACTCACCAATTTGTTTTTAATTATATAAATATATGATTAATTTGATGTGAGAAAATTAATTAGTTAATTTTAAAAAATTCATCATCGCATACAGAAAAATTTATCATTGCACACAATAACACTCAATTAATTAATCTTAGAAGCATATTATTAATTTAAATTTTATATTAACTAATTATTGTAGCCTTACAAACTCACATCATGTTTAACTTTTATTTTAAATGTTATTTTCTTTCAGTTAGTTTCAATTACACATTTTTTTAATTGTTTAAATAAATCTTAAATTAATTATTTTTAATATTTAATTAATCAGAATTTTATACATTTGACACTCTATTTATTATTATATTATTTGAAAAATTAGTGCATTTTTTAAAGTGAATTTAACATATTAATTTCCTGCATTCTGTTCTTGGATTTTAATTTAGGGTGTTGTTATAGGGACAATCTTTTTATTTTATCTTTTTATATAACTTTTATATATCATTAAATGAGTGGATGCATTCAATATCACTCGTCCCATATGAATTAAAAGAACCAATTACTTTAATGATAATTTTATACATTTGACACTCTATTTATTATTATATTACTTGAATATTTGTTACTTTTTTAAAGTGAATTTAACATATTAATTTCCTGCATTCTGTTCTTGAATTTTAATTTAGGGTGTTGTTATAAGGACAATCTTTTTATTTT